AAAGGGATCCCAGGCAGTAGGATCAGGGACAGTAAGAGCTCAGGGCAGCCCTAAAATGCTGCATGGCCCTGTTGCTCCCTCAACCCCAGCACTGTGAGGGGGGCTGGCAAGGTGCCTGCAGCAACAGGGCTCTGTCCCTTTTGCTCCATCTGCTCAGCCCTGAGGGACTATTTTTAGGCTGCCCTGCAGCAGGGATAGGCATGGCTGCTGCCAGAGCTGCCTTTACTCCCCTACTTGACTTTTCCTCTGTGCCTGGAGTGAAGTGACTCTGACGTGCCTTGCACAGACCCCTTGGATTGGATCTCCTTTTGCCTCTGGCTCTGGCTAGCTGCCCACAGGCCCTGCCCCTGGCCCTATGGGACAGACACAGGACATACTTAGGATCCCTATGGCCGACCCTGCACAGACAGTATGCCTGTGCCCATCACATCACAGCAGCCATGCCCCAGCAGTGTCCCTGGTTCAGCCCCTGCACTTGGCTCCCAGACCAGGAACAGGGCGTGTCCCTAGTGTGTCTCTGGGTGCACACTTCTGCACCCCATCCCAGCATCTCAACCCTCCCTGTAGCCCCAGCAGGGTGGCTGGAGGCCATGGAGGACAGCTGGAGTCCTGCAACCAGTCCAGGACCAACCCCTGGGGCCCCATCCTGCACCCACTGCCTGCTGAGCCCCCTCTCCTGCCTGTTGGGGCTGTCAGCGGCTCCAGCTCTGCTTCAAAGAGGCCACAACAGGGCCAGGTTCTGGCAGCTGCTTCCCACGGCACTGGGAGGGCTTTCATTATTGGTGGGGGAGCATGAGATCACCATCCAGTGAGGACAACAGTGACATTTGGGAGGCGCAAAGACAGCGGGGCCATATGATTAGCTGATAACCTTTCCTGAGAGATGCCAGGTGTGTGCACCTGTGGGGGGGGGAGGGGAACACATCCCCCACACTGTGAGCCTCTGGAAAACAGCTCCAAGTGCCTCAGCCTGCCCCTTCAAGCAGGACGGAGACTGCCCCAAACTGGGGCCACTGACCCTACTGACTGAGCATTCCAAGAGTGGGCCCCCCTCTGTGGCATCTGCAAGCACTGCCATGTTCAGCTGTGTCCATACCAAGGGGTGGTTCTGGTGCACCCCACTGTGCTGGGAGCCCCTGCAGAGGGTGGAGACAGCCCCCTAGCACATCCCGAGGAAGTCCACAGGTGCTAGGGGACTCAGCATCCTCCTGCAAACAGGCAAGCAGAGGAGGATGTGGTTTTGGAGCCAGTTGCCAAGGTCTGGCTTTAGCAAAGGTTCCAGCTGAGAGCTGAGGCTGTGCAAGGATTGCTACCACACAGGGATGGGGTTGTGCTGGGAGCAGACATGGGTGGCTTTTCCCACCTCCCCAGTGGGGTGGGGAGGGGCAAACAGCAGTACATAGGAGGTCCCTATGTGTAGTGCCACGCCATGAAGCAAAGGGACTCTTCCTCAGAGGGTCCCCCACATGGGACATGCCCCCTCCCTGCCCTGCTGAGCAGGACCAGGTGCTGGGGGCCAGGACCGGGGTGTCCGGCAGTGAACAGGGAGGGTCTGTTTGCAAGCTGGCAGGAACTGGGTAGGGCCAGGAGGTGCTGGGTCGGGGCTGGGAGAGCGCGTCAGCTCCGCAGCTGGGCTGGGAACGCTGCCAGCACATTCCTGGGGCTGCCGGGCAAGTGAGTGTGTGTGGGCGCAGGGCAAGTGCACAGCCACCACTGACCCTGTGCGCTGCCCACCCTGATGGTTCCACATTGCCCCCGGGCTACCTCGACCCCACAGTGTCCCCAGTCATGCCCCAAACTCCCACAAGTACTCCCAGGCAGGGCCACCCCTCCCCAGTCATGCCCCAAACTCCCACAAGTACTCCCAGGCAGGGCCACCCCCGCGGAGCTGTGCTACCAGCCCAGCATTGTCCCTCAGCCAGGGTGCTCTCTCCTTTCAGCTGCTGGACACCCTCGGACACATGTCCCTGCACAGACAGCCCCAGCGTGCTGTCCCTTCCTGAGGGCCCCTGAATGGTCAGCCCCAGTGTGCTGTCCTCTCCCAGACATCCCTGCTCCACAGCGAGTGCATCCCATGTCCAGCACTGACATAGCCCAAGAACCAGGATGGGAAGGACAGTAGGACGGGAGAGAACCCATCCAGCCCAGTCAGCCCACCCAGGCCCAGGGGATGCATCTTTACTCACAGAAACAAGGTCAGTAGCACCCAAAGCTGAGGCAGGAGAGTGGGACACAAGGATGGAAAGAGGAGGCCAAGGTCCTTCTCAGCATCTCATTTCCCAGGAACCTCCTGCTCCCCCAGCTCAGATCTCCTCTGTGCTACAACCAGGCACAGGTCCTCCACAGGGAGGGCCTGGAGTGTCAATGGGGTACCCCCAGGGGGATGTCCTCTTACCCTGCCACTCTGGCTCACCGTCCCTGAGGTCCCCACTGCAGAGGGGGCAGCTCCCATGGCCCCGCTTCTGTCCTCGCTGCTGTGACAGGCGACACAGGTAGTGACACAAGTGCTGGCACAGCCAGCTCCCTGGAGTGACAGGCACAAGTGTCAGTCTCCCAGACAGTTGCATGGCTGCAGGACAGGAATGTGGGCACTAGATCAGCCTGTGTAGACAGCATGCAGGGAAGGGTGCCAGATCCACCTGCCTTGGGTCCATACCCTTCTCTGGGGTACACCCCAGATCTACCTCCCCTGAGGCATCCTGGGTAGAAAAGGGTTAAGGAAGCAATGGGAGTGCATCAGGGAACCCCTAGAGCAGAGGCAAAGTCTCAGCTCAGAGACAAGGCTGCCAGGACACCCAGAAGGGTGGGAGCAGGAATGGACATCCCTATCCTGAAGCCAGCCGCGCTCCCCCCAGCATGGCCATGTTGACAGGAGGTGATTCAGTGGCTCTAATGAAGGCATCATGACAGACAGAGGGACTGGGCCAGCTGGCAGAGAGCCCCTCACTCAACCCCAGCCTCACCAGCCCCCTCACCTTCATCATGGCACACCCATGGCTGTGCTCAGCATCCCACACACTGGCAACTCCACCCTGCACACACAGCCTTGCTCTGCCTCCACCTCCCAACTCCTGCTCCCAGGCCTTGCCAGCCCCTTCCCAGCCTAGCTCTCATGGCAGTTACACCCTGCCCAAGCCCATCCATCACGGATTAGTTATTTTCTATCAGCATTTATCTCCAGACAATCTCACTCCTGCCGTGACAGCCTGATGCCTCCAGCACCCTCCCTCCTGCTACCAGGCAGCCCTGATAAAGGGCCGCTCTATCTTATCGGGTTCCCAGGCAGTTACACATTAATGGTGCCATCTCCAGGCTTGGCTGGGGTGAGATGAACCCAGCCCACCCTCGGGCTGGCAGTAAGCATCAGTGATGCAGTGATGGCTGCTGAGCCCAGCACAGAGGGCATGGGCAGTGTAGGCAGGCTGCAGGAAAGGGCAGGTCGTGTGGCTGAGGTTCCCAGCATGGCCTCAAAGCAGATGGACCCCACCAGGACTGGGGGAACAATCCCTGCCCCCAGCCCAGGGCAAAGAGCAGCTGCTATCACTGCGTGAACTGGACTGTTTGCTCTATCACCATTAACAGAGCTGCCTTATCCAGCAGGCAGGGGCCAGCGACAGCCCAAAGCCTGTTGGCCAGGCAGGAGCATCGATCACGGGAAAGGGAGGGGATGTCCCAGATAACCCCTGCAGACAAATGGGCTTCTAATGGGGTCTTAAGTCTTGCACCCCCTGGCCCAGCCCATCTCCAAGGGAATGGGGGAATGTGGCCCTGGCAGGACTCTCACCCCACTTGGGCTGCAGCTTTGCCCACACCCCAGGCACTGGCAGAGCCTGTGTGAAAGCCCTTTGCTGGGAGATGTAACCCCAGCAGACCTGTGCCTAGCAGACCATGGGCTGTCCAAAGTGCACGCTGACAGGACCACCCATGAAGAATAAAAACTCCATGCCTATTGGCATCACCTTGGCATTGATGGCACACATGGCACCGGGGTACCTCAGCTCTCCCCCAGTGCTGAAGCATGAAGCCTCTGGGATGCCCTATTCCTCCATCCTCTAAACCCCAAGCATACCCAAACCCAGACCCCATGGGGCACAGGACAGAGAAGGGGCACAGGGTAATAACCAACGTCCCCTGGCACGTGCCAGGGCATGCCTCTGGAGTGCCAGTCGGGATGGGCAGGGGGACTGGTGTATAATGGGGGCACCTTGTGCCCACAGCACATCCTCATGGGACAAACAAGCCAGCCCTTCCAGACAGCATCACCCCAGGGACACACAGAGCCAGGGTGGGCTGAAGGGGTGCATGCAGAGAGGCTCCCTGGGAGGGTGGGAGGCATGGAGCACCAT